AATTTCACTTTACCTTTCAGTGCAAAAAACAAATGCTTTGTAAGCAAAGCAAACCCACCCGGCTGTATGGAATGCAACCTCTGTGCCTCTGTGTCTGGTATGCTTTTGTTTGGGTAGCCTGGGTCATTGTCTAAAATACTCCACGCTTTTCAGAAACACTTAAGAGAAAGCTGGATGTTGCTGGCAAGCACCTGGTCCTTACTTCCTTTCCATATCTTAAAGCTGAGGCTCATTCTGACTTGCTCAGACTTTCCCAGGTTGGTGCAAGCTGTTGAGATTCGTAGTCCTTTCCCCAGCAGTCTTTTGTTTTGCCATACCTCAATTTTGTAACGGCTTCCTTAAGAACAATGGGGGATGGTAATCACCTGCTAAATGTGGTTTGGGGTTTCTGACAGTATAGTGAAGCAGCTCTGAGGGGATGTAATTGCACACCTGAGGTTTGCATCTTCTAGGAGGAGATGTGCCTTGGGACTCATAACAAATTCAGTCACCATTCCTGTGGTTGAGGGATGTAGTACAGAAGATACCTGTACGTAACAGAGGAGCTGAAAATGTTTGGCAGTGGCTTTAAAGGCACCTTTCATGGCTACTACTGAACCCCTCAGTGGGTGCTTCGATAAAGAATACGAGCTGTGCATATTGTTGGTTTTGTTTTATACACCTGACATGTAGACTGAGCTTTTTAATGTAAATGAAAACAAAGCAATGCGACCTTCCACTGTTGCTAGTAGAAAACAGATTTTTTTTCTGTTGCTGAACATAGAGGTTTGGACAAGCACTTTCACAGCCTGAAAGCTACATCTGATTCCTTTAGTTTTGCCAAACTGGAACTTAGCTAAGTTTCCTGCAGGAAATGGTGGAGTTTTGAGCACATTGTCTTTGGCTCTGGCTATTTACACTACTGTTACTGGGAAGGTTGAGACTTCTTTCTTGTCAGAGGCTACTCAGAGTCAGAATTTGGACGTTAATGCCCAAGATCTCACATTCTCCATAATAATACTAAATGCAGAAAAAATGTTTCATTCCTCTTTCCACAATGCAGAGGGTTATTGACTTCTCTCTGTCACAGGAGAACATCACTGGTAGAGCCAGGAAATTATTTCGTTGCTCTTTCCTTCAAGTTGGATCTTTAACCAAAAAAACCCCCAGTGTTTTCCTTCTTTTAAAAAAAAAAAAAGGAAAAAAAGAGGAGAGAAATGTTAGTGATATCTATGTTAGTGATAGCCAAATATTTCCAAAGCCCAGTTAAAAATGTCCAGTTTCAACTCTCAGGATGTTTTTCACTAGAATCATATTTCCTGTCTTTTTTTCTAATTCCTGCTTGTCAGACGTTGTATTGCTGTGGTTTATCAATATTTTTAGGTCCCAAGATACCTCTGCTCTATATGCCAAGGATTTGTGGACCAGACTCTGCTCTGACCAAATTTCAATTTCACTCAAGTTATTCTGAAGGAAGGATTTGGTGTCATGTATGTAGCTCCTGAGCTAATTAGAACTAAGCATGCTGCTTTGTGTCTCCACCTCCATATAAAATACAGCAGATGAGTCAAGGTAATAAGAGTCCTGCTGGAAAAGCACGTGTTGTATGAATCATCCTGTTGGCTATGTTGACATTGTTATCTCTGTTACACTTTGATGTCATCCCTTTTCATTGCATGGAGTATGTGTCCTGTGTCTTGTTCACTTACAAGTGAAATCCTCAGTGTCTGAACATGGAGCATACAGAACATCTCTTAGCTAGTACAACTTGATGTCTCACTGAAGCAGAAATGAACCACCTCTATCAAGCAGCTTCCAGAAATAGATAGCAAACAAGTGAGCCAATACATACCTTTCAGGTCCAGACTTTTGGGAATTTTATTTTATTGTTATGAATCAGTATATCTCTTAATGACCGGAGGACTTTTTTCTTTCCTCTTGATGAGGCACTAGGAGGCTCTGTGTGTCTCAAATTTAGTTTTGTCTGAAGAAAGATCCACGTGGTCCTGGGAGTAATTGTTGTGCTGAGAGTTAGGGGACTGCAAGCTTCAAAAAGGTCTCATTCCCTTTGGGAGTTAGTTATTAGAATTTAAGCGCTGCCTGCTGACCTTTGTAAAAAGCCTTGTATTTTAATGGGCAGTAATAGATAGTGTGCATGTGTAAAATATGTTGGAGAAAAACCCTTCTGTGATTCACACGTTTCAGTTCTTACCATGCTAGAAGTTAGTGGTATGGTGGAAGTGGAAGTTTTTCCCCAAACATTGTATCACCGATGAAATGAGATACTACCTGAGTCTGCTTTGCGTGGTGAGGGTTATATGAAATCACAACTAGTTGCTGGCTAGGCTGGCTAAAACCTCTGCAGATTTCCAGTCTCACCTGAATTGGGCTGGGCTGCTTAATACGAGATCTGGATTGAAACAACTAGTCTCCTTGCTTTTTTACAGTGCCAATATTGATGTCAAGTTGTTTTGCAGACACAAACTAGCCTTTCTCAGTTTCCCTGTGGAGTATTACCTTGGAGCCACAGGGCTACAAATGTTTGGTGGGTGGCAGTGTTCACACACTGTGCACTGCCACTTGCCTTTTGGCTGAATAAACTTTGCTACAGTAGCTGAAAAGACTTCTGAATTTTGGTGCAAACAGGACATCTTTCAGTGCCAGTGGGCTGCAGAATATTTTGGATTTGTTCAAGTCTGTGGTTTGCAATTAAAACATGGTGAGCTTTACACAGTATTAAAACCTAGGAAATGCTGCAGAAGGTTCCTGTCAGCTCCTTAGTAATATTTTGTTTCTTAGACTTTGCTAGCCTTGCAAAGAGCCTGAAAGACCAAGAGCCTTTATGCATCAGAATGCTTTATCGTTGCAGGGCATGACGGTGTTTGGGTTGTACCTCACCTGCCCAGTGATTTGAACTCTCTCGTACAGGGACCTTGTTTTGTTCAGTCCTGCACCTTGTGCTCTTACGCTGCGGCACATGTATTTACTTTATTCTTCTCCTCTCCCAAATCATTGCGCTGGATGGAATTGAATTGCTGGTTGAACAGCTGCACAGAGTGACTAATGTCACTTTTCAGACATAGAGACTCCTCACTCCCATTTTGATGCAGGTATCTTTTGGCATCTCACAAGGCGGGATTAGCACAGGTCATGTAGGCCAGGAGTCTCTCTTCACCGTCGCTCTCTGTCTTTGCAACCGTTTTTGGCTTTCTCTTACTGTTTACCTACTGAATCCCTCAGTCTTGTGCTGGTTTGAATACCTCCATCGTCTGGACCTGCTGCCAGCAGCAGCAAGTCTGTGGCTTTCTGTGTGGTGCTTCAGGTCCCCAGGAATCTAGCTAATAACTTAATAGCTTCTCATCTCCACTGAGCTCACTCTGAAAAGTGCTTTGTTATAAGTTGCGGAGCACACAGATGGCAGCACACTGTTTATCTCCAGGCTGTCACATCGCTAGTTGTTCTCAAAATGGGGTGCCTTCACAGACTGGTGTTCACTGACGTCTGTGGCTTTAAAGAGCCTTTTCCGAAGTAGGATTTGATACAACAGAGAGAAAAGCAACAGCATCTGCACTTACAGTGATGGCTCAGAGGCATTAATGCTTTTCTCAGGCACACATGCATCCTCTGTCAACACACGAGCACAGCAGCCTGTGGATATTATCTTCTCAATTTGATCTCCCTTGCCTCCCAGTTGTGGGGAGGATGGGAAGGTGCGATACTTTTTTGCATTTGATCTGTCCACTCCCCGAATGCGGCTGGCCCATTAGCACTCACAGCACAGTAACAGCTGTAGTAGAGTTAAAAGAGGCACATATTTGTGGTTAAAACTGGACACAAACTTAGCTTGCAGTCAAGGCTATAAAACCCACGTTCCTTAAACTGACAAGAACTGCTACTCCCACAAGGCAGGGGAGGGAGGAAACGGGGAAGGGAGGGTATAACTCAACTCTCAAGTAACCAGAGAGATTTTATCTTTTGGCCTTTTCACATACTGCATCACCAAAAAAGTTCTTGGGTGGTCATAGCCCCCTTGCTGCCCACCCACTACTCTGGATGACTGAACAGCCTGCAGCACTGGCTGATCTTTTTCTTGGTAAGACATTTTTATTCCACAGGCACTGAGATGCAGACTGATGAGTAATTGCTTTATTTTTCCTTAACTATTAAGAAAATCTGAAACTGGAAAACACAGGGCTGGATTTTTCACATTGTCACAGAATTTGTAGAGAGGGTTTAACAGATCTCTGACTCTGCTCACATCTTTGATATCATTGGTGAACTTGGACGACATTGATAAGCAACTATACACAGGCATATTTTTCCAAATTTCTGTGGAGCCACTCAGAGAGTAGGTGGAGACAGATGCGCTGAAGTGTCAGGCTTTAGTCTGGGCACACTTGTCACAGTGTAATTGGAAAAACCCAGCACTGATTTACCAGGGTGGAGTTGGGAAATTGGAGCTTTTGATTGCAGTTACATGGCTGTCGTGTCGCATAAGGAGACTGTCCTCACACATAACCTCTTCAGGGCTTCACTTCAGTCTCTCTCCCCCTGCACTGACTGGGGTTGTGTCAGCCCGTGACAGCCTGAACATGATTCCCCATCAGAGCACTGCTCTTTGGGCGAATCCTGACAGTAGCTACCTAAGTTGTCAATGAACGTTATGCCATGTCCCCAAAAGCTTTACAGAAAGTTTAAGTTCCCAAAACCTTGGGAACTCAGGATTCTAACTCTTAACCTTGACCTCTTATCTGTCATTTAATGAAGAAACAGCAAGATATGAAAGAAGCGCTTGGCAATTGCGATAGACGGGCAGTGATGTGAGCCTGCGTTGGTCCTTTCCTGAGAAATCTGCACAGGCTGGAAGACAGTACAATCTTTACTGCTGTGTGCAAGCAACCCAGGGTGTGACGCTGGCTTTTCTTCCTAGTGCAGTACTATCTCTGGAGTGTAGAAAGCCTCTTATGTTGCACCTTCTGGTAATTATCCGATACCTCTTTTGTGTGTCTCCTCAGGAAAGGATGCCACAGACACCTCCCTTTGCAGCTATGTTTGACAGCAGCGGCTACAGCAGGAACTTGTATCAGTCAAAAGAGGACAACTGTGGAGGGCTCTCTTACCATGACAACAACCTCCTGTCGGGGTCTCTGGAAGCTCTGATCCAGCACTTGGTACCCAATATAGATTACTATCCTGACGTAAGTCTATACACCCAGCTAACTATATGGCTAGGCCTGATGCATCTTGTAAAGGGGAACTTTCACATGTGCAGCAAAAGCAGAATGTGTCACATCAAATTGCTAAGGAAGGGGTTCAAGTTGACTGATCAGTAATGATAGGATAAACATGTGCTTCGTGTGTGTGCAGCATGCAGTAACTCACCTAACCTAGGAAGTTTAATTCTTTATTACTCCTGTTGTGAGGTGTGCAACCCTGGTGACTCATTTATAAAGTAAGTACCTAGTGTGGCTTACTGTTTGATGGATTGTATGTACCATTGACCCTTAAAAATCTGTCATGCAAGCTGAGGAGAAAGGCATGACCACTGGCACGGCAGGATGAAATGTATTTAGTTTACAAACAAACAGTTTTTAATGCATTCCCATTGCTCATCTGAGATCCATATGTATCTTGCAATTAGCACCTGGAAGTGTTGAACTAGTACCACACTGTTTGGAATCAGCAGAGGGTGGACGTGAGAACAGAACGTTTGTCATCTGAGAATTTTTGGCTGTCTAGATGCATCTGTGCATTGAGACATTTTATATAATTCTTAGAAAAGAAGAATGATATCAAAAGGTCAGGGGGGCAGTTGGGGATGACTGAGGGATGATGAAACTGCATCTCCTTGTTGAAAGGGTCCTGTTGAAGACATCACTCCGCTTATATTCAGCTTCTGTTACTGTCATAGATCTATTCACGTTTCCAAGACAGGATCTTTTTTAACTTGTGTCAGAGTTAACAGCAGCAAGGACTGTGCTTATCCATTAATGCTTAATGCAAAATTTAAACATGTAGCAATTTAGACACCAGTTGGTCAAACATGATGATTTATTCCAAGTCCCTAGAACTGGAACATTGTAGAATCTTTCTTGTGGGTGCCATGGATACTTAACTACTGGCAATGTGGAGAACGGAGCGGATATTTTGAATATCCATCTCACAATGAGTTCAAATCATGATATATGGAAAATTAAAGCAAAATAAGGAGCCTCTTCTTGTAACCTCAGAAAGAGTTACTAATTTTTATTCTGTAAAATTAAGCTATGTAGTTCCCTCCGCTTTCACCCAGGAGACAAGCAATACTATGAGAAATGAAGAGTATTTGGGGATTCTTAAAAGAAGTACAAGGTCATAGTGTGCCGTTTACGGAGGTCAGACACGCAAACACAGCATAGTAAAGATGGTGTATGTGGCAAAATTGAGTCAGCTCAACAATCTGGTCAACTGGCATCTTTTTTTGTTCTTTTTCTGAAGACTGTTTACTTTCACTAGCAATGTGGAAGCAGACAAGATTTCTCTGTTGGTATTCTAAGTAGCTTGGACTTGCAGCATGAATTTTATTCCATTGTTGGGCTAGAAAGAGTTATATAATCTGGTAATGGCTCTCACAAAGGTTTACTCGAGAGCAAGAGAAGATGAGTTGAAATTTTATTCTGAGTAATTTCTGATACGGAGCTTGTAATAAGGCTGTGTGCAATAGGAGAGCTAAACCAGTCCTGCCCTGCCTTGTTTTGGTTAAATCTTGCATAACTTGGCTCAAGCAGGAGTTTATAATGCTGATTCTGGAGCAATGACAAGTGTTAAATTAAATGCTTACTGCTGTATTAATAGCTTTTGGCACAGCCACATGCAGAGTTTTCTTCTACAGATAGTAAAGTATTAGGAACCAATTTGTCAGGAACACATTTTGAGAAAATATAAAACTGGTGGTAATTTATCCCTTTTTCTGTCTTCCTCTTGTTTGCAGAGGACATACATCTTCACCTTCCTTCTCAGTTCACGCCTGTTCATGCATCCATATGAGCTCATGGCCAAAGTCTGCCATCTGTGCATTGAGCAGCAGAGACTAAGCGAGCCTGGCCTCGACAAGGTAAGATCCCTCACTCTCAGGGACTCCTGATAGTTCTAGGCAAATGTCTCTGCCCTGCCCACAGCAAAATGTTCCTACTCAGGAGAGTCCTCAATAGGATTAAATAGATTGAAAACCTGATACAAGCAACTAGAATTTGACTATTTACCCTTTGTAAATTTTACCTCATTTACCTCACTGACAGTTGTGGGAAATTTCCAAAACACTCAGCCTGTCCTCTGTGAAGACTGCTGCTGCTGCTGCACTGTTTGTTTTACCAATGCATGGGCCAGAAACAGCAGTGCTTGTTGTTAATGACGTATCCTGCACTGGCCCTGCAGTGGTTGCTTTTGTTTCAGGGTTCCGAACGTCTTGACGTATAATGCCAAAATGTTGGAAAGATGTAGTGATGAATTAAGCACGTCAATGGGAATTACACTGACCTGTCTCATATGCTTAAGCTACACTCTTGCTACAGTCTTTGCGGAGTGGCTTAGATTGCTGGCCCCTTTGCATGGGAATGCATGGTTTTTTTGTGTGTCATGTCTAGAGTTGAAAGGGGGCAGGATGTGGACTTTTGGATAGAATCTCCACCACAGTAGAAAATGACACAAATTAAATTAAGATACTTGAATAATTCCACTGCTTTCTCACTATAAGGTATAGTGCGTATGTAAGTCTTGGCAAAACTGGAGATTATCACTTTCATTGTTGATAGTTAGCCGTACGTTATGGAAACACTAATAAATGTCTTGCACTGAGGCACTCCTGATAAGGAGGGGAATCATTCTAAGATTTCCACCTACCTGGGGCCTTAATTTCCAAGTCAGTTAAGCCAATGAGAGTCTCTTCATTGGCTTCGATGGGTATTGGCTCTGGCCTGTAGTCCAATGCTGAATTAAATTAAGCTTAAAAATTTAACTGACCTTCATACCCTTATGCTCCACAGTATCCTACAGAAGGGACTTTTATTTCCCTTGTGTTAGATATGTGCTGTATTGCTGTTACATGTAACATTCCTCCTCACCTTTTTCAAATAGAACCGGATACGAAAAATTGCACCTAAAATCCTACAGTTGTTGACTGAATGGACAGAGACGTTTCCTTACGATTTCCGAGATGAAAGAATGATGAGGAACTTAAAGGAGTTGGCACAAAGAATAGCCAGTGGTGATGAGGTAAGTTGTCTGTGCACAAAGTTATTGGATAAAAAGGCATTCCTTTAATGCTTTGATATTGCAGGTTTGTTGTTGTTAATAACATGGTATGGCTCTGGGTGGCTAAGCTGACTTATTATGAAGGTGCTGGTAGGCAACAAGTTCTGTCCAGTGCCTAGGCCTAGGAGGAAACCACACAGCATAAGCAGATCCTTTTCAAAGCATGGGCAAGGCTCACTCCATCCCTAAACCCATGATATAGTTGCATATTGTGCAGACAGACACAATTTGGTCGGTGTTAGTATTTTTCATTTTAGTGATTCTGCGTGGAAGCAGCTAGATAAGACACTGGGAAGCCTTACATATCTGAGAAATCCTTACCAATGTTGATAATTGCTTTGATTTGTGTGAGTAAGGTGTATTGGAATTAGGCCTCTGACCTGTAGGTCAATGGAAGAGTTATAGTAGGTTTGGGAACAAGTTTCTAAAAGAAAACTGGACCAGGAAGAATTGTCTTGAGCTCAAAGCATCAAATATGGACTCAGAAGAAGTCTGTCATATTCCTTCATCTGAGTGGAGCACACGAGGAAATTGCTTGTCCTTTTTCTAAGTCCCAGTTCTCAGATGGAAGTAAAGTTTCACAGAGGTATTACGAAATATTTTGATGCTTAACTGATGCTTGTCTTGTAAGTACTGAAATAAACTCAGCCAAAAGCCAAGGCTTATATTCACTTAGTGGAAAGGCAATTAACAAGGTTTCAATAAGCAGATTATGTGTAGCTGGCGTAATACTAAGATTACAAAAGACACTGGAGTGGCATATGGAAGAACTATAAATGCAAAGAGCAATTGCTAAATGGCATCGTCTTTCTAGTGTTCCTCAGGGGCTGGTGTTCCTTATGTAAGCTTTTGAATAATGATATGGATGAGGTAGCAAATGGCATGTTAACAAGCATGTAGGTAAGCTTTACTGAGAGGAGCTGCAAGTGCTGCCAAAGACCTGGAAAGATCTTGAGAGACTGTAAACAAGGATGGAAGAGAACAAACCTAAACTGAATTTGGAAGCTGAAATACATTTTGATGTTGTGAAAGTGGGGAGGGACAAAAGAAGATGGGACAAGAAAGTGAGATGCAGTATGGAATACAAATGAAAAAGATACCAAATTTGTTAGGCAAGCTTAGAGTTGCTGCAAGATAGCTACAGGGGGCTTTGGATTGTGGAGAGGCAATAGGTTTGCCTTCACTGTGGGGGTGCCAGGAGGCACCTTTCCCTGTACAGTGCTCCTGCACTGTTGCTTTGTTTCTGGGTACTCTTAATAGGAAGATAGGGAACTGAAGTTTGGTTCAAGGAAAAGTAGTAAGATTGAGGACTCACACCCACTTGAAAAATACCCACTGGCACAAAAAGAGAGAGCTGTTTAGCCTGGGGGAAGTTGAGTTGGTGGATGCAAGAGTGAAATGGCAACAGGGAAGTGTTGTCTACAGTGAAGTTTCTGGCAATACAGACAAGTTTAAACAGTGAAGTCATCTATTGAGGGGAAAGACAGATGTACAAACTGCTAGAAAATGAGCACTAGGGAGCAATCTTACTCTGGCAGCGAGCTATAGATCTTTTCTAGCTCTAGCTTTGAGCTTTTATTGACTTTGAGGTTTCCTTTAGAAAGACAAAGGGAAAGCAAGAAGTGCTGCAGTAAATTGACTGGTGTTATTGTGAACTGCTTGGAACAGTAAATGGCAATTTCCTTGACCTTGCTTTTCTACAGATTGCTTGGATTTGTGTGAGTCATTACCCTGAAGGATACAAAAGAAGCAATGTTTCCTATTCCTGTTCACTACAGCTGTTCTACTTGTAGTTTCTTATTCTACTTCCAGAATTATTGTGCTCCAGTACTGTTAAGAGCTATCAGTGAGTCCAACTAAAACCGTTCACCACACCAACATATTGCTCCATCAAAAAAAAAGTCTTCGGAAAAACCTTAGTGGGTTTATTTTTTTCTCATCTTCTCCCTCAATTTAATTCCATTCCTGCCACTTTCTCCCTCTCTGTGTCCTGAGAGGTCATCATGCTCATGAGATATTTCTAGATTGTTCTGGTCCCTTTTACCACTTAACTGACCTTTGTTTCAAGGTATATCTTTTGAAACCTTTCCCATCAGCCATTGCCTCCTATTTCCTGATTAGTTCCATATAAATATTTATCAGTGGCTTTTTCTGTGAAACACTTGAACGTATGCAGTCACACCAAAGCCACGTCCTGTATCCTGATGTCTTTTCATGTGCGGCCCAACGTTGCACTGACCGTTTTTTTTTTTTTTTTTCTCCCCACCATGATATCATATAGTGAGATTGACCGTGGAAACACATTTAACATATGATGTTCCATATCTAGCAGGTAGTAATGGTACTTCCAGTCACTATCCATACAGGACAGACTCAAAGGGGTGACCTTGAGGTGAAGCGTCCCATTGCTTTCTTCCATGCTGTCCAATCCTCAGAGGTTTTTAAATATAAATAAATATCAGCATTGTCAGTGTGAATATAGAATAAAAAATGAGACTGTGGGACTAGTAAGTGGAAAGGGTAAATCTAATTTAGAGGAAGACCATGTATGTAGGCTGACTGGTAGCCATACTACAATCAAATTAATATCTAATTGATAAAAGACATATTCTGTGAGTTCATTGGTGTGTTGTTAAATATTTATCTATATATATATGATATTAAAAAAATGCATGAGATTAAGTAATGGTCCAGCAGCAAATACCTGTTATGGGTGCAAAGTGCAGTACGTACTCGTCCTTGCACAGAATGCCTCGAGGTCACTGCCTTTTTGCTCAAGAGGAGACTTAGGCTCAAAAGAGCAGAGGGATGTTGGTTTTGTGTGCTCAGGGACATCCATGAGGTGTGAGAGGAAACTGGCATTTCCTTCTGCCTTTGTGCCGAGAGGGTTTTACCTCATCACTGGGCAGAGGGGTGTTTGTTACATTTGAACTGCTGTTAGATCAGATGTGGGCTAATTACCCTGGTTTCTTGTTCTGGTTTGGAGGGTATCTATCTGTGCCAGTTTGCCTTTTCTCTGGGACTTTCCAGCTACAGAAACAGATTGACCAGAATTAAGTGGTTCAGCTTTGTATCTTCACCCATTTTCTCCCTGATTTTGTTGTCAGTTCTGGGTTGACACGAACCACAAATTCAGGCAAGGTTTATTTTTTTGCTTTGAAGCTTAACCCACTGATTATTATGTGATTTCCATCAGTAGCCAGAATTCATCCTGAGTATTCTAGATGTTTTTTCATTCTTGGTTCATTACCAGCTGGGCAAGAAAATGCTTCATAAAGTTCTCTTACAAGAAATTTCAAAGAATTTGGAAGGGAATGGGTCAGTGAAGCAAGTTTGTGTGTGTGTGACCTAACACCTGTTTATGGAAGCGCAGCACTTGAAGTAATACTTCTCTGTCTCCCTGAGGAAAATGTAGATTCTTTTCTTTAAAAGCTTGAGATTCCCCTGTTCTCTCCCCACTCACCCCGGTGAAAAATTATGCTGTGTGTATTTGTCTAGAAAATAAAAATAAATCTAAGCAGGAAGCAATTATTTACCAAGTAACAAGACAAATTCAGCCTTGGTTGAACACAACTGACTTCAAGAATGAATCTGACCCAGGGTAGTGCTGTTGTATTTGAGTAAATTTGGAAATCCGTATAAATGGCAGCTTTGGAAGGAATGAAGAATTCATTAGAATACAGGAAACATTCCTGCCTTGGACTGATCACTGTGCTGCCAATAGGTTTTGGATGCTCCTTTTTTCAGCCACTTAGGTTTTGCTTTAATGGCTTTAGGATGATATCTGGAATTTGGAAGAGTAACCACTTTGGGGTCAGTTACACAGACCTATCTACTTAAGAGTTGAGTCCTGCTCCTACTTAAATTTGTCACTCCTGTTAACTTATAGCACCACACGGAAAGGCCTGCAAGGTGAGAGAAGAGAGAGATGTTTTTATTATCTTCTCCTTTTTCTCAGATTTACTGCAAGTTTTAATTCTGACTTCAGTGAAACTGGTCTTGATTTACTCCAGAGAGAAGCAGGCCCTTTTTTCATCATTGAATGACCATATATTGGTTTTTTTGTGGTCTTAAGCAGGAGAAGATGGAGTATTTTCATTTCTTGTATTTTGTTCGGTGATTGGTGGTACTTTTCATGCAGTAGGTTGTGCATGGCTTCTCTGCTGTTCCTTGAGCTAACCAGGTCACTATTGAATCTGTGAGATAATCTGTTTAAATCCTCAGCTGGATTCCTGTTGGTCTGATGAAATGCCAATATTCGAAACTCACATAGTAGAGTGTATCTTAAGTTGACAACAAATACAGGTATCAGCATCAATCTGTTTTGGTGTCATGCAGTCTTTAATGCTATCTTCTCACATTTTGAAAACGTCTCCCGATTGTTTCATGTCATGACAGATGTATTGGAAGAACGTACAGCACCTCCTCCAGAACCTGATTCGGAAGCTTGCCACTGTTAGCCAGTATGAGGAAGTACTTGCGAAAATTAATGCCACGTCCACAGATCGCCTCACGGTTCTAAAGACCAAGCCCCAGTCCATCCAGAGGGACATAATCACAGTCTGCAATGATCCCTATGCGTTAGCTCAGCAGCTAACACACATAGAGCTTGTGAGTTGTTATACTTCAAGTATGATTTCATCCTTCCCCTCTCTTTGAAATGCAGGTAAACATAGGATATGACTTGGCTGCTTATGTGCTTTATTTAGGAGAGACTCAATTATATTGGACCAGAAGAATTTGTCCAGGCATTTGTGCAAAAGGATCCTTTGGATAATGACAAGGTAATTGGAGCACATCTGGAGCAGCTCTGAAATGAGGCATTTAACACTCTGGAGCTCAGGTGCCCCATGAGCTGGAAGTGAGGTCCAGCAATAAATGAGGACCTGCAGAAACAAGCTTTTTAGTGAAAATGCTTTAATATTCCTCTTAAAAATTTTGTTGATACTTTTTCTTTCTGGAGGGCAACTCCTGGAGCTCCAGAACTCAGCCAAAAAATTGATTCAAATTAACACATTTGCTGTTTTTTCTGATTTAAGCTAAGGGATAAGTTAATCACGTGAATGTTTTCTCTAGGCCACCTATGTGGTCTACAGCTGGAAAAAGCTAATTTTCAACATCTGTTCTTCATTTCAGTAAAGTGAACTCTTTGCAGCAAACTGGCAAGTGGGGCAATTTGCAGGTAGAGCGCACATCACAAAAAGGGACCAGTGAGCTCTAGATCCATGTGAGATGAAGGGCAAAGACGCAGTGTTTTTAGCTAACTGTGCTAGAGATGTCATCTCCTTGAGTGCTGCTTTCAAGATAACTTATGCTCTGTAAATAAACTGTGCCAAAGTCTGGCAGTTAAAACTTGAATTACTGTCCTCCCTAAAACTGACAAACAGAATAGAATGACTCAAGTTTACAATTTGATGTTCAGTCAGACAGTCTCTGAAAATCATTTTGTAGGTAGAGATCACTAAAACTGCTGTCTACCCCATTTTAGGCAACCCTGAGATGTGGTGTGGGAATCGTTCGAAGACCCTACAGAACAAACAGCACTGGTTAGGAAAGGGAGAATCCAGTCAAAATGGTAGAGCTGATCTCCCAAAGTTAGGATGCAGTATGTTAATTTGGCGTCAACAACTGAACATAATGTGCCAGTGGAGTGGGCTGGCCCCTGTTTTCCTTCTGCACTTGCAGAGGGCATAATGTTGTCTCTACTATATCAATGGGACAGGATTGAGGACTGAAACAGTGCTAATATTCAAGGAAGCTTTAAGCAGATACTTTCTTTGATTGTTTGCGTAAGTCTATCCTAAATCCTTAAAGCATCCCGGTAGGACTTACAGTAGGTGATGGATTCCGCATGCCTGCTTGAGTGCTTTACTGAGCCAACAGCTCAGGAAGAAGTTATACATGCTCAAATACTATCACTGCTGCTTTTCCTCTAAGCTTTTTGTCACTTTGGGTAATTGTTATTCCTGGTTACCTGACAGTGTTTGAGGATGGCAAGGCAGAAAGCCAAAAGGTCTCTCTCAGGGAAAAGATGAAGATTACACTAGACGTTGCTATTTTTCTTCTGTCTGCAGAGCTGCTATGGAGATCGAAAGAAGACCCGGAACCTGGAAGCCTATGTGGAATGGTTTAACAGGCTCAGTTACTTGGTTGCAACAGAAATCTGTATGGTGAGCGAGGACTTTTTCTGCTAAAAGGTTTTGTTTAGTGTAGTTGTCTAAAACTGTGAAGTCTTTTCAGGTTTGGTGCCCCTTCAGTGTGCCCTTTGACTTTTCATTCTCTCAGCTCTGTACTTTTTCACATGTGGATTAAGTCAGCACAGGGCTGAAGAGAAAATAAGTTCTGTGTTTTCAGCATCATAGTCATGCCTCGGCCTTGTTCATGTGACGTATTATGCTGGGTTAGTCCTTCTTGGCACAGGAGTGCATCTGCCCTTCTCTTCTGTGAATGCCCCTTGTGAATGGAGGCATCTTTTCTCTTCTCTTCTCTGTGCTGACCCCCTTCTCTGCTCTACTGTTCTTCGTATCCTTCTTCTTGGCAGACCCTCCTTACGTGTTGTCCTTGCTCTCTACCTGCCCGGTATCTGGGTTGTCTTTGCTGTCCTGCGGGCTTTTGAACACAATGGTGTGGCTTCCTCTACATGTAAAGCATAGTGTGAAGTTGTGGTACATGTGGAAGAGACTTTTAACAGGGGTGTTGTTTCTTTTGGGGGG